AATATTATTTACATTAATTACAAAAGTTGCCTGAAAAAAATATTTTTTGTAACTCAGATTTGGTACTTACCAAGTTTAGGTTACATGGGAGTATTGCTAGAAGTACCTAGCTCCCAGCTGCTAGAAGTACCTAGCTCCAAAGCTGGTTGCTGGGTCCGGTGGCTGGCTCCCTACTGGAGCCACCACCAACTATGATATTCCAGAGATTCGCACGTGAGTTTCATTTCAACTTTCCACATTTGGCTTTACAATTTCAGCAGAGACAATTTTTGCGCGCAATTCTTCGACACTCTTAATCTCTTCTGCGTAAACTAAACGTTTCACATCATGCCATAAGAATAGTCACGCACATGCAGATGATGGTAATGCTTTGGTTGGATGGTAACTGGTGAACCTGGTAGTGGTTCTTTATTGCACAACTCTTGTTTACATACCAAACCATGTGGCATTTCGTGAGAGACTACTTAATAAGATCACTAGAATTGCGGCGAGTTCGGCTATCCCATCTTTAATTAGTGCGCTCGCATGCAGGCGCGAGCGCTGCGTTTGAGAAAGACAGAGATAGCAATACTTCTCGGTTCCTCCGGCTGCGCTATAAATTTTGGTAGCACGTATGATGCAAGTAAATGACCTTTGGATCAAGCAGAATCAGGTGATTTCAAATCGATGTTTACCGCAATTAAATAATAAATAACAATTTAGGATATTTTTTTTCGATTAATTTTTTTAGTGATCTGGGTTCAATTTCGGATATAGAATGGACCTCTGTAAATATGGCGAGAATGCAAATCAACACATTGTATTTTGTTTTTTGCTTTTTGTCAGTTTTGTCCTTTTTTATGTTGTTTTTTTTCTTTAATTGTATTTTTTATTTTGTTTATTAATTTATTACGTTTTTGTTGAGATTAGGGGTTGGATTCTAGAACTCTACTCAATGCTCAAGTCAGTACTTGAATATGATTCAAAGCACTAGAAATCATACTCGAGTCCTTGCCATTAGGGTCGTATTTCCAGTGCTTGAAATCATACTCAAGTCTGCTCAAATCCTGACTTGAACATTGAGTAGAGTTCTAGAATACGACCCTAGAAATGAAAAGAATAGAATTTTATTAAAAAACTGTTTATACCATTTCAGGACGTAGCACCAAATGTAAACCTACCACTAGTGTGTTCAAAGTTAACGGCAGCTGGATTCTATACTGGAGTTGTCGAGCTGTGTGTAGCGTGCGCACATAGAATAGACCCTCAGAACAAAGCGATACACTACTATAAGAGTGATCAGCCAACACAGGACAGAGAAGGGCATCTGGCTTATTACAGAAGGTATATAAACTATTAAGAATATTTATATGTTGTGATTTGTGGTTGGATAATCGGATGTTTTTTACCTATCATTCGGTGGCTAGTTAACAAAGATGGTCTTTTGTAGCTAAAAAATCTCAAAATGGCCAGGTGATCCTGGAGGAAATACTTCAACAAGCATTGAAACTATGCGTGTTAAGAAAACGAAAATGTTTTTGTCTTTAGACTACACTCTAATAATTTATTTTTTAACCTACTTCAAAAAAGGAGGAGGTTCTCAATTCGACTGTTTTTTGTGTGTATATTACGCGATTATTCCAACATTTATGGTCCCATTCAAATTTGAAGTAAATATTCCACCTCTAAGAATGGCAAATTAGTGCACCAATCCGGTTTATTTAAATAATGCGCTTTTATACCTAAAAATGTCAAATGTGTTTTATCATATTATGTATGTACAGTCTGATAAAACTAAAAACTTTGGACGTCAAGAATTTTTTTTTTTATTTTAATAATTTTTACCAAAGTTATTGTTTAGGTTTAAATTAGACACTTCCAGTTGGGATCCAGTTGTCTTACTCCTAATTATCAGACTTTTAAGATGAATATTATGTATTTGAAATATAAAATCATAACATGTCACGGCATCACAGGCTTTAAAAAAAAAGAAGCTCCTTCCACAAGTCGATAGCAATTCACGGGAATTAGTGAACTGCAGGTGTAAAAGCATCCGAATATCCGCCAATAGGTACGATTATGATAGAAAGCTAATAGGTAAAAATTAATTAATTTCACAGGATGGAAATTTACCGAGAAGTGTGCAATGCCCTCGAGCGTTTATATGAACGCACCTCAGAATCCTCTAACACCGAGCTTAATAATTCAATTTCAACTGCAGATGCCAATTATCAGGTATAGAACGTTTTAATTAAATAGATAAAAATAAATAATAGACAACATCACTTAAGTTGGTCTGATCCCAAAGCCCTTGTGTTATGGAAATCGGAAACAACAACGGTACCACAAACACCCAGACCAGAGACTATGTGGCGATTGAACCCGGGAACGAGATGGCGACACCATGAAAACCGTTGTACAAGCCACTCAACCACGGGGGTCGTCTAACACACATGTTACACATGATTATTGTACAGGTTTATTTTTATATGAATCCAAAATATGGAAACTACATGATGAATACAAACCATTTTAGTTCTACAATTTCGTGAAATTAATACACGCTTTTGTTCGTGCAATCGAAACATTTTTGAGGCTTCGGATATAAAAAATAAGTCTGCAGAAACGTGATAAATTTTAGATGTACAATACAAACTTTTTTTATATTTCAGGGAAGAAAATTGGTATGGGAATGTTTGTCTCGTGATGACGAACTTTTACATGTAGCTGTGTACGAATGGCTTGTGTCTAAACATTTGGGATCCGGTAAGGTGTTCTGATACATTAAAGCTTTATTAAAACTGGCAACAAGTAGCTAATGAAAAAGTCTAGTCGCGCTTTGCGGTATCACTTTTTAACCGACTTCAAAAAAAGGAGCAGGTTCTCAATTCGACTGCGTTATTTTTTGTATGTATGTTACGCGATAACTCCGGCATTTGTGAACCGATTTTGATGTTCTTTTTTTGTTGGAAAGAGAGTACCTCCATAGTGGTCCCATTTAATTTTGGAGAAAATCATCCACCTCCAAGGGTGACTGTTCACGCATGAAGATTCATTTTTATTAATAGCGCCTACATTTTACTATAAAGAGCAATTATTTTAATGGTTGATTTTGCTATTCTCCAATTCAAGGTGTTTTTCTCTCAATATACTATAAGTTCCGTATAGTGGCGAACTAGGGGATGAATCCGTGTTAACGCACTTTCCAGTAACTGATTTCAATAAAACTTGGCAAATAGATGTAATTCCACGTAGTTTTGAGGTCGGTTTTCACTTAACTAATTATGTTTTCTTCAGAGCTACTGTCTCTGGGCACCGCGCCGCCGCCGTCACTTCGCACGTATCTTCAAGCGGCATCGAGATCTGCCCCACCAGCCACAGCACTTCATCTGCTGGACTTGTTGTGGAAAGTGCTTGAGAAATGTGGAGACCACCTCGCCGCCGCTAACGTTCTCGAGGGACTCGCTACTAGACCTGGGTGAGATTTCGTAATTTTTAATAGTGTTGTTTGTATATTCCCCATCTTCCTATATTTTGACCGTTGTGCTTAAAATTGTTTTCAAAATTAATAATTTTTACGTACGACCATGTTATTTTATGAATGAGGAAAGTTGTACCAATATTTCATTTCGAATTAGGATGTGACCTAGGTATGTTGGATTAGGTTTAGATATAAATTGTATTTTTTGTATGTTCAATTCTTTTCTCATAGTTGATGTTCAGTATCTATACCATTTGTTACATTCAAATAGTTAATTAAATGTTATGTGGTAACAGATCGGGAGCATCTTTAGCGCAACGCATGTCCTGGTTATCTGCGGGCATTGTATGCGTGCGCGGCGCGGGTGCTGGTGGAGGCGCGGGCGCAAGTGGCAGCGGCGAATTGCTGCGGCGGCTGGAAGAGGCAGCTGAGGTAGCCCGTGTGCAGGCTTTGGTTCGGTCTGCAGCCGCCGCATTGCCCAGAGCGCTTCAGCCGCCGCCCAGACATATGCATCGTCTCGATGACGAACTGCTCGAGATCACACAGGTATTATGACTTATATCGACTCATTCATAGAACAAAGATGTATGTGCAAAACTACTTGTTCTCAGGACGTAGTACATTTCGTTCGTTCTTTTTCGCTGTGGATGTAAGATCGACCGTTGTTCGATTTTATAATTCCGAAACGAAATAATATATATAAATTCTCAAAACACCTTTACACAGGCCTTAGTTTGAGCAACGAAATTGTTTTCGTAACGTACTTATTCTCTTTTCGGTATATAATCACATCGGACTCTGTTCTTCGGATGAGTCGATATATACATTTCAGATCTCGTTCGACTTATTTTTATTACTGTTTTAAAGTTATTTAGCAACAATACAGTTAAAAGTAAAAATCTTTTGTTCGGCGACAGTTATATGAAGAATACGCCGATCGCTACAATCTATGGGAATGCAAGCTTGCCATTGTTCAATGCTCTGGACACAATGACGCCCTTTTCGTGGAGAACATCTGGAGTAACATTCTCGCCGAGGCCGAGGCGGCCGCGCGCTGTCTCTCCACGCCAGACGAGAGACTCGCCTCTGTACTCAGCAAACTCACTACTCTTGGCCGAGAGTACGTCAACACCGGACATTGTTTTCCACTTTGTAAGTATTTCATACTTATGTTGAAGTGACTGTCATTCAACTATCAAAAGAAATCTGTATTAGGGTAGTCCCTACACAGTTCACTAATAATGTTAGCGAATTTACTTTTAATAAATAGTGTTTAATATATACTATTTCTAATACTTTGACGTTAACGGGAGTCGTGTATTTTTTTAGATTTCATAGTGCGTCAGTTGGAAATAATGAGCTGTAAACTACAGGCTGACCAAAGTTTGGTGTTCCGAGCAATATTGAACATTGGAGTCTCATTAGAACAAGTTCTAGACATCTATATCAAGTAAGTCGATCAAAATGTTAAAGCCGTTAAAGCCTTAGTAGGCGATGGCAGTGTTCAAATGTAGGGCACGTCAACTACTTGCAGATTGGTGAGCGTGAACGAGCGAGTATGGCTGGGGTGCGGCGACGAGACGCACGTGTGCGCGTGCGCTGCGCTGCTGCTGGAGGCGGCGCGCACCGAGTTGGCCCCGCTGCCGCCCGCGCAGCGCCGCCGCGCGCTCGCCAAGTGCAAGGACCTGCACGAGTGCGCGCTCTCCGCGCTGCAGGTACGTGCGCCTCGTACCCGAATTACCATAACGTGTCTTTCGTATCTTTTCTAAATGACGTTGCGAGCGCCATCTTATTGATCTTGCCCTTTATACGCGTCCCCTATTCTAGCGTGACTATAGTCGAGGTTTTAGGATTCGAAAGTCTGGTAAAAAAGTTTTTGTCACAAAGAACTAAATTCAGTCTGTTCGCCATTTCAAAGCTATAACGGTTTTTAGGCTGCTAACAGATTCATTCAGCATCGTAAAATCGTATTTGAAAAATGGTAGTCCAAAAGTGAGGTTATTATTCATCTATACTTCTATGACTTGCCTATGGTTGCATAGTGCTGTTCGAAAAAAAAACATTCGGTTCAATCAATTAAAGTTTAGTAATCGATTATTAAATCGCACATTTCAATCGCAATCGAACGATATCTAAGTGTAAGGATTTGACGGAGGATTTAAATTGAAATTTTAAATATGCGTAAATAGGTTATGTAAGGAAAACCGCTAGTGTGACTCATTTGAACAAATCGATTCATTCAATTAATTAATCGATTTGTAGTTGGTGTTACAATTGGCCATTACTAAATCGTCTATGGTCGGGTCAGTGACTTGTTTGTTTACTTTTTGTTCAAAATGGATTGAAACGAAGTATAATGGAGACCTTTTACCTGTTTAATCAAATTACAATAACTCGATCATTGTCACGCTGGAATAACGGACGTACTATATACGGATAAATCATCTATTGCCGTCGCGTTGAAAAGGTCTTAGCAACGGCAAACATAAAAAAAATTTTCGCCTTTATAAATATTGCTGCGCACCGAACAGTTCCGTTCTGATAGCTTTTATGATTGTTGCAGTCTCGACCGAACACGCAACGTCTCATCGACAGGCTGTCAGTAGTGCAGGCGCAACTGGATCGCATGGATTGAATAATTGCTTAGGTAGATAATATAGATTTTAAGTTATTACTGTATTGTGAAAGAGTGTAATTTATTCCGCACTTTCTGACATAAAATGAATTTTTGTAATGGATAAATCAAGCCACAATTAATTGAAACAAATTTGGACTGAAACATGTTTATTTTACACTTTCGTACATTAATAAACATACATTGGGCCACAAGCTAATGTAAACAAATTCAAAATTCAGTAATAAAAATAAGAACATACCGTATGTAAAGTATAAGGGCGCCGTCAAATTAAATACTCGTAGAAGCCCTGCAGTGACGCGACTGCGGTGCGGCAGTCGCACCTCTGTAGCGCTTCAATCAGCAAAAGTGACGTGCGTGTCACGATAATGGGGCTGCAACTGCCCTTCTAAAAATATTTTATGAAAATATTGTTTGTATACTTAAGCATATGGCCAGGAATACAAAAAAAATTTAAGTATTTTGTAATAGTCTACTTTATAAATTAACTATCACTAAGTTATATGTTAATATGGCAGTGACTGATATTTTAATTTCGATATCTCAGTATGATGATGTTTGTTATTCTTTTCGATTATAATCATGTGCATGTAAAATAAGGATTCCGAAAAGTTACAAAAGATACAGTTTAAGAAGTCACTATTAATAAATTCATTTTTTTTTTGTAAATAAACAAAAGATGATTTCAGATTTTTGTTTTCATTATGCTATTCATTTCCTAGAGTAGGGTAGTTTAACCTTCTTAGGCCGCGTGTACAGTGATTCAGATCTAGACAATATTATTCCTATGATCATGTAAAGGCCCATTGTACATTATAATGAAATATCGCATATATGACCACAGGATTTTTAGTAGCAGTAGAGCTTCTTGTGAAGAGTTCGTTCAGGGAAGTAGTACACCTTACTTCTACCACCAAGCGGTAATGAGAGCATTACTGCGTTCCGGTTTTGAAGGGTAGGGGTGCTAGTGAAATTACAAGCACATAGGACTTGTCAACTTATGTCTGTGACGGGCGCTGTAGCACTGCACCTCAGATCTTTTGTGATAAATCTGTAAGTGTTTCTGCTTGCAGTGTAATGGATAGGCGTGTCGCTGACCGCCATACTTGCTTGGGCCTGAAGAATGTAATTAATTATATTTAGCACATTTTAATGCACATTGGGCGTTTAGCGCTTTTCCCGTGCTGGGTCTTATAGATTTGGCAAATAAGTAGGCGGTATAATTATACAATAATAAAATATTAAGTGTCTATGGCGTCTTATATTATTTTACGGTGGTTAATGACTATCTTCATCAAAAGGGTTAGTGTTAACACGATGGTCGTCATCAGGATAACTGTATATGCTATGATGTTGCCCACTGATTGTTGGTACCCCTACTGTATTCATTGAAGGTATTGTGTTGTATTGTTGCTTCTGAGAATCTTTACCAGTTGAGTTTTTTCTAATAGTTGTATACATGGGCGTCGCCTTCGAAGGAATGTCTTTGATTCTCGTGGCTGCGCGATATGTACCAAACTCGTCTGGAGGAGGCGGTAAAGAGAAGTCCGAAGCTTGAGTTATTTCTGATACCTCGTCGCTGATCTCCCGAGATTTAGTTTTTGCTTTCCTTGGTATTGTATAGAATGAATTCATCTGAAAAACAGAATTAATAATAATAGTAACGAACTGATACAAAAATCGAACAACACAGAAAAATTCCTTCGATCTGACTGAACTTTACCAGCATCTGTTCCCACACCGGGGCCACTGCTCTTACCAACTGAGCAACAGACAGCAGCTACAGATAGAAGAGTGGCATTATGTCGTAACATTTTATTTGTCGTTGTACGGCTGTCGCTTTTAGCCTGTTCGCATATCACCACTGTCTGTCGTGACTGTGTCGTGGACATTTTTTTATCGTTGAACGACTGTCGTGTCTAGCTATTCCCACTGGATCGTGACGACAATGTATCGGTTCACGGCAGCCGCCTTGTCGTATGCGTAAGCACAGCCGAGGGCGCGGATGACGAGAGGAGAGAGTAGGTAGCAGAAGACGTGCAGACAACGATAAATAAAACGTGACGACAATAGTAGCTGCGATTATCTGTCGTTACGTTTCTATCGTGACATTATATTTATCGTCAGACGACAGTCGTTCTAGCTCTTCCCATTGTTTTGACAGTCTATCGTCGTAAAGTCATAAAAGTCGTGAACGACAGTTAACCGTGTTGTACTATATGTAAACAACTTCATTTAAATATATATTAGATAGTCATGCAGAAGTGTCGTGGCTTGTAGCACGACACTTAAAGCTGCACGACTATCTGTCGACACGACACAATGGGAACGTGCCCTTAGTCTGTCAATTTTTATATTTTTTAAATTCCTCAAATATATCTCCTAGTCTTCAGACTGAAGACCGTTTACTATGACTCGACTAATCTTACCGGTTTAGCGACTTGATAATTTGTTTCGGGAGGCAGGCGCATGACTAGATGATCGCATAAGGCATCCATTTCTCGCTTTCTACTAATGTTCTGTAACGAATGTACTCGACAGCTGCCGCTCCGTTTCAGAACGTCATTGATTTTACTCTCGGACTCGTGCAAATCGTCCATATATCGCGCCGAGTGGAACGAGCTTGTTCTCTTGACATCAAAGTTTTTGGACGGGTATCGCGCCATAGCTCTTCGGAAGGATTCTGTACGTCGCACGTTACATTCGCTCTCGTCACTATCGTTGTAAATGTCGTAGTTTGATTCTAAAAACATTGTGGGTACAGTAATATCAGACTTATTTTGATTAAGGTATTGTATATAAACGTGTAGATGACGAACTTGTGACTGTGATAATGTCACCTTCGGCGTTGTAAGCACACAAAGGAGGATCGGCTAAGGCGTGGTGCAAGTCGAGCCGAGTGCTACGTTCTTGCGCACAAAGCACAAGTCCGCAAGCAGCCAGCGCTATCAAAGCCACCCCGGCACACAGAGCTAACGCCAATGTGGTGATATTTGTGACTGCGCTTATCTGGTCTACGTTACCTGTAATTTAGGAATACATATTACAGTATTTAAACGTGCGTACCAAGTTTACACAATGTCATATAACAATTTCTTTGATTTGCTAGGAAAATCTTTCATAAAAGTACGAAAGTACGGTGATACTATTTCTAGAAAAAAAAACAGGTTCTTACCTAAGGTAGCATTAAGAATATCCTCCTTGACAATTTCAACAATTTGACTAGGTCCTTTTTCGTTTATTGCACGTATAACGAACTTATAGTTATCTTCTTTTGGATCTTGGATTATGAACTTGGGTTCCAAACTGACTATGGACATGAGCTGTTCATTTGAATCAATCTTTGTCAAGTTAAATTCAAACTTCTGTAATAAAAAATGCATCATTTTTGTAGAAGTATCAATTTAGGGCTTTCATTTCGGGGATGGTCGGTTTCGATTATTTCGATATTCGACGATTTTTTGGTGGTGTGCGGAGACTCAAGACTTATGTCTCGGAACTATCCAGGCCTCTGAGACTTAAGTCACTTAATTAAACAATATTTAAAAATGTACTAAACCAAAAGTTATTTTTACTGGTCTCTGGTTCTTCCTGGTGAACGTGACGACACTGTAGAGCCCATTTCGATTTATCAAATTACTTTAGGTTCAAGTTAACTCTTTTCCTCGTGGTGGTCACGAGAGATAACTACCACTTTAAAGGCTCATATTTGGCTAAAGTGACATCTATTGGTTTCGTGTTTTAATTCTACGACTAAATCAAGAACAAACCACCTTTATAGTGTCTAATAGCCGTGGCGCCACGGCCATTTAGGTAACTAATTTTGCCAGTGAAGATCGGGAATTTTCGAGTAAGCGGATTTGCGGAAGTTTTTTTCATTGGTAAGTAATTATTAATGATTATGTATAAACTTTATGAAAATTTTGTTGATGTATGATTGTCCGTGTAAACTACGTTAAAATTTACAAAAAAGCTGTGGTCGTTCTCTTGCAATACCTTGACAAATAAAGTGGTTACCTGCGGCAACCACCGTTCAATAAGGGTACAGTTTTTTGTAAGAAATACAAGCTAAAATTATATTTAATTTATTTTAGATAATGGCGAGAAGGACGTAATCCAGAAGGATTATGGAATATATTTTATCAGAACATATTAATATCCTTTCTGGTAATGATAGCAGTGCGGGTAAAGATGTTTCGGAGACCGATGATCAGACTATCAATGGGGATCAGAAAGAACCCAACGAAATTCCTCTCGGCGAAGATTTTTGTGGAGATAACTCCTGTCGAAGAATTTGCCCTGATGATGATGTACTGTTAGCCAGCTTTTCCACTTCACAACCACCACTACCACCGTCAATCAGCTCCACCTGCTTCACAGGCACTCCAAAATTGAAAAAAGCTTATAACATTTTATCATGAGAAGAGTACATGTCATTTCATTACAGACCATAATTATACCTGCACAAACATGCTTAGTTGCTCATAAAGAACGGACTCCTATAAAGGTATTCCAATTGTTCTGGACTGAAGAGATCATTCAGCATATAACATTCCATACCAATTTTTAAGCGTTTTTATTATTACTGAAAGAAGGTCCTTACAAATCTATTACTAATGAGGAAATTACCGTGTTCATTGCGCTGAATCTGGTGAAGGAAATCAAAAAGAGCCTAAGTTATAAATACTACTTCTTCTCCAAGCGCTGCAGCAGATGCAGCATGAATTCAGCAGTCTATTTGAGCTGCAAAATATGCAGTCCCTCATTGTTATCGTGAGGGGAAATGATAATTCGAGGATCAGAAAAGTTAAAATTATTATTCAAAACACGTTTACTCATCCGAAGCTCCGAACTCACATCATTTGGCATAAATCAGTGCATAAAATAAGTTCAATATTGAAAATAAAGTCAATTTTTTTAAATCAATTTTTGTCACATTCTTCACGGCGGTTACTAATAATGACCACCTCCTACATAACACCCCAGCATGCGAATTATAAAAAAAAGTGCAAGAATGCTTATAATTAATCCCGATCATTCAGGAGGACACAAAAAGATATTTTTAATCTGATAATAAAAATCTGTGCCGCCAAGAGTTAATGCCTGACGACTCGAGGTTCAACTGATGTCTTAGAATTAACACCATTGCCTCATTGTTTTACATAATACTGTGTAAATATATAAAAAATATATAAATTAAAATCAACCTGTGGTAATCCACCATCATGGCCCCCCATACAGGAGATGGTAATCTCCCCGGAATCCATTTTCACAGCTTTACAATCGGTTGGAGAGAGGGGAAATGTCTTATCGGTGACCCAGAAGACACAGGGTGTTGCCACAGCGTCTACATTGTTGATCCCATTGCAAAATACTGTAACTAAAATGTACTTAATTGTTAACACGTCCTTTAAATCTGTCGAATATGCATTATTGAGACAATGGCGCATTACTCATAATAAGTACTAAATGTGTAGGTACTTTATATATAGTCGGAAATGTGTCGTGAATAAAATATTGTGGTAAGATTTAACTCAAAATTAATATTGTTCCTGTTACATTATAATAATATTATAAGGTAGTAGGTGTCAGAGGAGGACAAATAACAAGATTCTTATCAGTTTGCCTAGGTACATGGTTAACATTAGCTTAAAAGAACTGAATAGTACTATAACAATGACCTTTTTATATAATTTTATTAAGCTAACGTATTACAACTAAGTACCACAAAAAAATAATTAATCAATTGTTTCATAAAGAAAGGTCACTTTTCTTCAGGGATTATTAGCTGGTCCGTGGTGGTTTTATATTCTCTTAATAGGTACACATACCACACAGCAAGCGCACTCTTTTTTACATTAGTGTGATAAAGTATTCCATTATATTTTCACGCACCGAAACTTAAAGTATTGGAAGCTGAAAAGTACCGAGTAAACAAAAATAGCAACGCCCAGATTGACAGTCGTAATCACAGGTCGGTATTATAATAAATGCGCGTGAAAAATTAATAAAGTGAAACTGTGAATGCAACGCACTTTTCTAATAACAATGTGCCAGAAACCACACCAATTACCTCACTCACTCACTCCGCTACCCAGGACACTCAGAGCAGAACCAATTAAGAAGAATTTATTTCCCAAATCGGTCCTACCGGGAATCGAACCCAGCACCTTCTCATCCAGCGCCCAAAATGCATACCGTTGAGCCACCAAGGTCGTTAAATGTTTAAATAATAATAACTCATACACTCAACATAGCCCGCACTAGGGAAACCCTATGTCGCGGGTGCCATGGACACACACATAGACAATCACAAATTACACCCAAACTCACGAGAGAAATAATTGTAGGCCATACAACTAGTTCTCCCGGCCCGGGAATCGAACCTGGGACCTCTGCGTGGCAGTCCGGCATGGTAACCATTCGGCCACGGAGGCAGTTTTATTAAACGTTTAAATAGCAGGATTATTGTTTACTTTTAAATTGACGAATTGCGTGCTGTTTATGTCGGTTTTATTACTTTTAGTGAGAATCTTGTACGAAATTTATTTCTAATAGAAATTTGCTTGAATACATATACAAATATAGGTACAATATATAAATACAAGTATATAGTTTACATACAAGTTGTCTGTAATTTTAACTAATTATGGAACAAGGAAGTTTATTGTCAATCTAAGTAGCCGTATTGAACCGAAATTCTCAAAAAAAATCTCATACATCAGCTTGCTTTATACAAATATTCGATCTTCGCTGCACATAGTTATAAAAACGTTACCTGTTTCAGTTCCATTAGGCCTTTGAAACAAAAGAGTGTCACTCTCTGTATCCGTAATAGAAAACGGAATAGCGCCTGTAAAAGTGCTCAAGTTCACTTTCTCGTTTATTGTAACCCATCTGTATAAATGTGATTCAGGGTTGCCTTTAACTTTACAAGTGAGATTTACGAAATCATTTTCACCAATTCCATAATCTTCAGTTGTTTCGTCTATACAATATGGCCGGTCTGAAAACCATCAATAAATGAGATAATTTTGTAGAAGATTTATGTCTATAGGATGCGGCTTATTATAGAAATAATGCTTACAAACAACATCAATTGTGACTGGATCGCCGAATGTTTTACCCACTACATTCTCCACTGAGCACACATATTCGCCTGCGTCTTCTTCTGTTACGTTATATAAATTTAGTACGGGATGATAGCCGTTTTTGTTTTTATTATTATTGTTAACATTTTCCTCGTGGTCCTGAAACACACAATCAAGTCATAAGACAATCAAAATATAGGTATTTCATTGTCTTACGAAATTAAAAGACCTACTATATGAAACCACGAAACTACAGTTTCTGAAGGATGCGCTTTGTGATCGCAGTATATAGAAATGTTGGAATTATTTTGTATTGCGTATGTCCTATCAACGATTTTTTTGATATCTCCATTAACTGTGATGTTCACCACAGGCGCATCTGAAAAATAATGTTTACTATAAATAGAGCACTCCAGTATTGTTTCTTTTTTTTTTTCAAATTTTGTTACGTTACTTATGGTCCTAGAACAAAAAGTTTTCTACTTTGAAACTCGTAAATCATATATTAAATTTTTTTTATTTAAATTAAAATAATAGGTGACATTTAGAGGTTTTGAGTTATTTTAAATAAAATATCCCTAGTATATCGTCAACTCGTCAACTTTCCAGCACCTGCTGAACTAAATTTCCATAAATGCTCTTTGTATATATTTTGTAACACCTTGTTAAACATTATGGAAAAGCAACTAAGTATTGAGTAAATTTCAATTATAATAGGTACCTAGTCATTAACAAATTTCTAAATGAGTCAGAACTGCTAAAACATTGTCTGTACTCACATAATACAATAAGAGGCAGCGATTGCGCGCAAACGAATGCATCTTCCCCGCGCTTGTTTGCGGGCGCGCAGCAAGTTACGCTCGCTTCGTCGTAAGTATGATCCATGAGCAATTTGATCTCGCTCACTACCAGCTTCTGTTCTTGTTTTACCTTTAATTTTGAGGTTTCTTAATGTTGTTATCGATACCAAATTTACGTAAAATTATCGATGGAAACGATAAATGTCTTAACCCTTTCATGGACGGACAGTACTTAAATAGTAATGCACATTTTAATATTATATTATTTTATTATTTATTACACAAAAATGTCACTACTTTTCTTTATGCCGAAGTACTTTATTGATATATATAATAAATAATTACGCTTTATCACGGACGCCTGATTTTTTCAACATTCTTGCACAAGAAAAATAGTACGACTATGACATTAGTAGAATGATTGCCGTTGCGTCATATTAATTAGTACCATAATGCATTTTAGAAGAAATTTAGCTTAAATCTTAGTTTTGCTGTTAGAAATTTCATTGGTACTGATGTGTACTCGTATCACCTCGTACAAACACGTTGGTGTCCACCGTACTGTTTTAATGTAAAATTCCAAATGCGCGTGTAAGTCATTCAATTTTGTCAATATTTTACGTTGTTAATATTTCTCTATGGAGGAGCAGTAGGTGACAACTACACAGAAAGCACTTAGAAATCACACTTCATGTTATATATTTAATTTTACGTTACGTCCGATTCGTGTCAGTTTCAAATCCGAGAAATGACGGTCTGAAATGTCACAGTGAACATTTTATCTCTAGGTGTATAAACGATATTCGTATTTTCACGGATTGGAAACGGACTAAGTGCACAAGCGACATCCGAAGGAATTTTTGGATTTTCTGGATTTGTATATTCCCGGATTCGGAACGAATACAAATCGGATGCAGTGCGCAAACGCGCATAGGCGCATAGGACATAGGTCCATGAACGGGTTTTAAAAAACTTGAAACTTTCGTTTAGGTGCGCCTGCACTTGTTGCGTCAGCACTGGTGCCATGCTGAGCGTTTACAAGTTCGAGTACGTTTGAACTAATTAGAAACATTTTACGTCCAACTTACAGTTACGATCTGTTCCAAATCCAAGTCCTCATCGTTGAGTCTCCACTTTATCTGAGGTGCATATGGTCTAGCGCCGAACACTCGACATTGTAGTTGTAGTATCTGGCCCTCCTGCGTTCTTCCGCCACCCATTATAGGTAGGTTCGGATCTGGCGATGAGCTCACATCGCGGACTGATATCAATTCTGGTGGCACTGTTTTCAAAATACGATATTTGTACAGGTGACTGAGATATTTAAGAAAATATACCTACGTAGAAGTGTAAATAAACATACAATGCATGTCGACAACTGCATCTATGGATAGCGGTGGAGCTAGGTTATTGTTGTTCGCTTGACAGGAAATGACCAAGCCGTGGTCTTCGTGACTCAAAGGCCCAATTTCGACATCGCTGCGAGTGCGCTGCTCCGAGATTGGGGTTGAGGTCTCCTTCATTAGCTTTTGTCCCACAAACCATACCAGTGACGCTCGTGGATTTCCTACAAAATGAATAAGTTATTCACATGTGCACTACGACGACTCCTTCGACGATACTCTGAGGCCAAGATTTAGTAGATATTAAGAAGAGATAGACCTACTCTGTCTTGCTTAGTGTGTTCTCCCCATTTGAAGTTATTATTATGTACATACATTATCTAAATCATAAATTTTCGTAACCTTAACGCCTCGAATGTTTACTTGTAATACTACAAAATTATGGACAAATAGTCATATAGTTCAGAAAGTAAGTTCATAGCATACCCTACCTCCGAAAGAAACACAAAATAGCCGCACCGTTTCTCCTACGTAGTACGGTCCAATGTATTCGCTTGCGTTTGCGCTAGCATTTGCTGTAGCAACCTGCGAGCCATTCTCATGGATCACCCAGAGATGCACTGGTGGTTCTGTGAATGAGAAAAACATTTACAGAATACGACTAATTGGATACTGGTAAAGCCAGCAGCGTTTAAATATAACTTTAAGTTATTGTTATGCATGTCAGCGATGTTCTAATTTCGATTTAATTAGATACTCTTCCTAATTAGGTTACTATCAATGAGGACTTCTGGTGCCACGAAATAGAGAACTAAGACGGTAATAAATATAAAATAAGTAAAATTGCCAATATCGTCCTGTGGTTGACTTTAACCATTTTAAAGAAAGTAGGTATCATTTAAATTTCTTTTCGTTTATTATTTACATATTAATTCTTTATTTCGAAAAATGCTCTGACATGTCATTGATATTTACGATAAATTAAGAACAATTCGCTTCAACACGTATTATTAAGTAAATGTAGCAATGTTTACACCGCGTTATTGTTCCACAAGTAGAGCAAATTGTTCCGGCGCTGTCAGCTTCCTCATTAAAACCGCGGACCAATTAATACAAGCTCCGGCCTCGCCCCATAGGTAAACAGCCGACTGCTGCTTTTTAGTTTTCCCGCGAGTTATTGAAACAAACTCAACGGCCGAAATATAAAAAATAAGAGATATTGTAGGCAAGTTAACTTAGTTTTCTATTTTGTATGCATATTTTAATTTTGAGTTAAAAATGACGATAACTTACTTGCAGATAGTAAAAACGTTTGATTACTTAATTTATCTGATGGAAAGTCAGTATCTACTTATATATATACTATATATATGTACACTGTATAAATTTTTGTGTTATTGTCCAGCAGGGCTAGCACGCCAGGGCGCGACTTGTGCTAGATAATAATGTGATAAATAATGTGCATAAAGGCCTTACGATATACTACTAATCTCGCGCTTTATGTCGCTCTCGCGTAAATCGCGCCCTGTCGTGCTAGTTCTACATACGTACCAATAACGTTAAGTTGTGTGTATGTTTTCTGTCCAGGGCTTGAAGTAAAATCCGCCAAGCAATAGTAACCGCCTGCGTCACTTGGTTTTACTGTCTTAATCAGTAGGTAAATATAACCGTCATCTTCGGATATAATTAGACTGTATCGACCTTCTACTGATGATATGTCGTCGCCATTTCGCATGTCCTGACTGTTGATCAGAAAATATTGTAAAATGTTCTTGATACAAAAACTACACATTACATGGGTTACAATTACATTGTGTAGGTTAGCAAATCATTTTTGTGGGGTGGGTTTTGTGCCACTAAATCAAAAAATTCTTTTTAAGAAAAAATATAGGGATATATGGGATATAATTATGTATTCTATAAATGTGACTAAAGTACAGAAAAACACAATTCTGTTTTTAACTTGTGTCGTTTCGCTGCTCTACAAATATCTACCCTGTCCATCCATAATCCCGAATCATACAAAACATTCCCTTTTTTATCCCCGTCACTAAGCTGTCTGTTACACCAGTAGGGCTAGCACGACAGGGCGCGACTTGCGCGAGAGCGACATAAAGTGCGAGATGACAGATGACTGCTATTGTCGCATAGTGGTCTCGCGCTTTGTGTCGCTCTCACGCAAGTTGCGCCCTGTCGTACTAGCCCTACTGAACCACAGAACGCTTTCGTTACGATATCGGAATAGGTTAAATATAATTAAAAATTAAAAATAAGGTATTTGTTATAATTATTAGGTAAATACCTAAACTACACAGAGTGGATAATACCACCTTCAGAAATTCCAAAATTATTGAATTTTATTTATTTTACTGAATATCATGATGTTTTTTTATACATACTTATATGTTTTGTGAAAATTTTCTAGTAGTTAACTGTCATTGATGTAAACTTAGAATAATAACGCATAGAAACCTAGCCCGCACACGCTAAGTGAGGCAAGTTAAAGGTTTCCCAACGGGCTCCCAGGAGCGCGCGGGCTGTTAGTGTTCAAGGTCAAATTGCACCGCGAACAGCTCCAAAACTTTTTGCTAAAAATGACGAAATGTGTGGTAAATGGGTGTAAAAATAGAACAGACAAACATAAAACAGACACTAACATCACATTCCACAAGTAAGTAATGCGTTTCAACTCATATTTTTATGTAATTATTCACTAAAACAGACAAAAAATTTCGCGGCAACAAGATACGAAAGTGTTGCAAAGTATCGAATTTTTTTTCTCCTCATTTTGCTATTCTGTATCAAAATAATTATATTACGTAAATTTTAGTGGTGCCTGTAATTTCGATTTATTTGCGCATCTTGAACTAATATTTACTTGAATAAACATTAAATGTTTTCGTTAACTCCTGTAAGTGATTGGGACACTTAATTATTTTATAATACTTTTAACGGCTCTGCGTTCATGCTTTATTGAATAATTATTTATTTTAATTTTATATATTTTTTTTAATTTTAAAAATAATTTTTATATTTGTTTCTACTATAATGTTGGCACCACCAGTACAACTTTGATAGCTTATTATATATCTTTCTTTTCGTAACTCAAGCGAAATATTTTATATTGAAATATTTTATTTTCTTAAAAGGGGAGCATTCTTAAGCGATTTTTTAATCTATTTTAACAGTTATTTTCTTTAATGTTTGCTTATGGCATTTTCGGTTTTAGGTTTCGAATATGGCACTTATTTCTAAATCCAAGAATGGCGGGCGCGATTTTTCGCATAATGGCAAGTTGGGTATCGTTTTCGAGATGTTTGGGAATGTTCAATACAAATATGGCACTCATTTCTAAATCCAAGATGGCAAACACGACAGTTCAAACAAAAGCAATATTCGTAATGAGCACCCCCAAATACCTCGAAAATGATACTCATATTGCATTTATTTGAAAACTCGTGTCCGCCATCTTGGATTTAGAAATGAGTGCCATATTCGTAATGAGCATCCCCAAATACCTCGAAAAAATACCCATATAGCATATTTTGAAAAATCGTGTCCGCCATCTTGGATTTACAAATAAGTGCTATATTCGTTTTTCATCGACAAAACCGAGCATATCTGCAGGCACCTGGTCGACAATGTCGGGCAAATCTGTAGGCACCTTTAACTTAATGATGAGTTAAGCAAGATACAATTTCCCCACTTTTGAGGGAAATGTTATTCCATGGCATCATTATTTGTATATTTGTGTGCGTGCCGACGAGCGTAGTTACAAGTTGCTTACGCCTACATGAATTTGGTTTTTGCCTCACTTGTGACAGTTCGTTTGATATGAAACTATCATTCTATGCGTTATTATTCTAAGGATGTAAAGATCGAACAACACAAAAAGTCCTTGAGAAAAGAAAAGAAACTGAGCGCCAAAGCCCTGGCAGCTCGATCATTCAGTACGGCAGCGGGCGCAGGCGGCGTCGGCGAGAATCTACCCTCATTTGCTTCATTTTTATTAAAGTCATCTGCAGGATTGCATAGTGACGTTGTTAGTGTAGTGACACTAACAACGTTACTTTCTAAAGTCTCGTCTACACTAACCACTGATCTAGGTAGTACCTAACACTGTTTTCCAGCCGGGGGGTACCGACCATCCACTATCACGATTGAAATTCGAATGACGACCAATCTCGATAGCTTCACGTACTTTCCGCGGAATGAAATGCTTTGCTCTCGCCATTACGGACACTTTATCAAAACGAATATAGTGCGTCGAATCCGAATCCAATGAGTGTTCCGTCACTGCAGAGCCCCGATTATCTCAGTTCTTAATGCTACGTATTTGTTCCGTTAGTCGTGTGGATATGTTACGGCCGGTCTCTCCTATGTAACTCTTGCCACAGGAGCAGGGAATCTTATATACACCGGGAACATTCAATGGCTCCTTATCCTTCGGTGAACGCACCAACTGTCTAAGTTGCATGTGAGGGCGGAAAATCGTCTTGATGCTATATCTTCGACGTAACACGTGTCCGATTTTATCCATTACTCCCTTAATGTAAGGTAAGTATATCGGCAGCCGCTCCACTACCGCCGGACGAGGACGAGTAAATGCGGTCATGACACGATTACAATGCCTTTTTTATTGGGGTTATTGTATTTTGTTCTATATGTTTTATAATGTAACCAGTAATTAGTTTACAACATAAAGGAAATGCTTTGTAGTTGTAAATAAAATGTAACTATTTTATTAAGATTGTTTTGCCTTTTAATCGTTTTCTATGTTTTAACTGCCTCTGTGGCCGAACGGTTACCATTAGCTAACCATTGACTTTTCATCGTTTGATCACGCATACTTGGGGCGCACTATAAGTTTCCGGAATGATTAAGAAAAAAAAAACTATAAATTAATTTATTGTTTTTCAAAATATTCTCCGTTAGCGTTAATGCACTTTTTCGTACTAATGAACTAATTTTGAAAACATTTATGCCACTCCTCTGTGACAATCTCTGAAACGTATTTTTCATACTCTTCGACAGCCTCTTCAGGTGATGAAAATCGTTGACCGCGTAACTGGTTTTTAATTTTTGGAAACAAATAAAAGTCACAAGGTACAAGGTGGGGACTGTACACGGGATGGCTCATAAGGTCAACGTTGTTCACCTTCAAAAATTCATTTGTCTGTCTGGCCGTGTGAGAACTGGCATTATCGTGGTGCAAGATGATACGGCGTTTACGGTTATTTTTACGGAGTGTCAATAATTTCCGGAAAACAAATGGTCGTGTACCAATCACTATTTACGGTACAACGATTCTTCGAAGCAAGAGTAGCCACGTGTCCAATTTTATTAAAAAAAGAAGTAATCAACCGCTTAGAGGCACTTTGCACGCGCGCCACTTTGGTTGGTCTCGGAAGACCCATACGCTCGATTGCTGCTTTGTATCAGGATCTTAACTATAAATCCATGTTTCGTTACCTGTTACTATGTCCCACACCAAAGTTGACGCCCCTTCGTTGTATCGGGTAAGCAAGGCATTGCACCAAGTGACGCGATCCGTTTCTTGAGCCTCAGTTAAATTGTGTGTGATCCGCCGAGAGCACAGCTTTTTCACACCCAAATGTTTGTGTATTATTGATTGTATTTGACTCATGCCTATGCCTAAATATGCCCGAATCTCATGGTATGTCACATGCCTGTCTGTTTTGATCGTACAGCGCACAGCATCGATGTTTTTGTTGTTCACAGCAGTGGACGGGCGACCATCACGAAATTCATCACTGAGATTCACACGACCGCATTTGAATTCTGCAAACTTATCTATAAATAGTCATCTTGCATGGTGCTTCATCGCCAAAAACAGTCTGAAACCGAGCGAAGCTCCGCTGAGCAACAGCTCAATTTAACAAAATTTCACTTAAAGTCGTAGAAAATTATACCGAAATATATATATATATATAACGAAACTTTTCACGAGTTAAATCCATGGTGATGTAGACAACCAATTTCTAATATGACGCCACAATGTAAAAGCAAGTGACAGTCAGATGAAATAAACTTTATTCTATAGCCAAAGAGTTCAATTTTCAAATGTTGTAATTACTTTTTAAATATTGTTTATGTAAGTGGCCAGTTCCGGAAACTTACAGTGCGCCCTATGTACTAAACATTAATTTGAGCGACGAATTAGTGAAATAATTTGTTACTTATTTTTTGTTTGTGTAACGATTTACCATTAAATTACCTTTCTATGAGCCAGCACGGTGGACTATGGCCTAAACCCTTGCCTTAAAGGAAACCCGTCCACAGCAGTGCGACGTATAAATGGGTGGATAAATGGTTGATAATGACTACCTTTCCATTTACAATATTTATTATTATCTTACACATATTTTTGTTATTAGTATATGTGTAGTAAATACATTTACTACACATATACTAATAACCTGTATTGAATTATTAAATCGTTATGTCACGTCATGACATTTTTTATGCTTCTGTGATATCTTGTAATTGGCGTTATATACTGGTCATGTGAAATATTTGTCTGTGTGAAATGTATTTTTTTTAATGAACCCAAAGTAAGTAGCTAAAGCACTTATGTTATGGAAATCGGAAACAACGACGGTACCACAAACACCCAGACCCGAGACAATATAGAAAAGTTAGTTTCTACACTGATCCAGCCGGGGATCGAACCTTGGACCTCAAAGATGGCGATACCATGAAAACCGGTGTGCAAGCCACTTTACTTTAATAAACAAGTAATTTCGGTTCCCGTCGTTCCCGACGGAGGTATTATTCACTCTATGTGTACCTACTACTTGAGTTACACTGTTCCTCATTTGTTCTTTTAGAGTACAAGTAAAAGTGCCTTTTTGTACGCCGTTCGAGTACATCTGAACTTAGGTACCTTTTACGTAGCTAAGCATTTACTTTTCACGTCAGCCTAGGTTTTACATCCACCGCTCGATAGGTCTTATAAAAGAAAATGATTTTTATAAATATATCTAACTAAGACGGCACATCGCATGTAAGTTAACGTAGCATACCTGTAGAAAGCAGACGAGGAACCATTCCTGTACCAGACTAGGATGTCTAACTTGCTGTCCGTACCAGCTGTTACGTTGCAAGGCAGTTCAGCGCTCGCCCCGACAATCGCATCTGTTTCAGTGAAGAAAATACTAGTAATTTAGTTCTCGACTGAAGTCCACGAACCGAAAGGCGTTCAGTGGGACGGCCCCTACTAGATGGTCGTATGACCTGGTAAGGGCGGCGGGTAACAGACGGATGCACGTTGCATCCGACCGGCTAATCTGGCAATCTTTGGGGGAGTCCTATGTTCAGCAGTGGACGTCTTCCAGCTGATATGATGATGATGACGATGACTATTACAAGATATTGTAAGTAACAATAGACCTCCTTGTGAGAGTTTATCCAGAGAAGTACTGCCACCTTACCTATTTACGTCGCAAAGCGGTAATGTGAGCATTACTGTGTTTCGGTTTTAAAGGGTAAGGGTACTAATGAAATTAAATCGAAATTACAAACAACAAGTTGACTTATGTCTCAGGGAGTAGGATGCAGTGGCAGTACCCTCAAATCTTTGCGATTAAACCTCTGAGTGGCGCACGAGTTGTTCATCTCGTCACTTGGTAACAAAATGACTTTTGTTTTATTAATTTTTCCTTTCAATTACATTTTTACAAATATAGATAAGGTTATCTCAACTAGTTTGTTACAATTACTAACACAAAGATGGAACACTCAGAAAAACTCGCTAGTTTGCTAGCTGTGCTTAACATTCTACTACTAACTGCTTCTGTGTGCCATCTGTATTTATTATTCTCGTGAGTTTAGGTGTAATTTATGGTTGGCTATCTGTGTGTCCATGACACCCGCGATACTGGGTTTCCTTAGAGCGGGATCATGAGGATGTGCGTTAATTCGTTTCGGATATAAATTACCTAGAAATTAATATTCTACGATTCAAAATAAAATTAAATAAACATTTAATTCTGTTACCCAATTACAGTTTTCAATATTTGCCTACATTGTATCTAACAAATATTTTTTCTTTAATTGTAGACAGACTTTTTACTCCTTTCATACATTTTAAGTGATGGAAGACCGTTAATTAATTAATATTGGAATGAAATTCACCATATACGTTACTTGTTTAAATTTTCATAACTGCCAACCGCTGTTTGTCTTGTTGGGTAGTTGTAATTTTTTAGTACTTTATATCGTACCGAAAATTCTTACTGCATTAGTCAAATTACAAACAGAAATTAATTTACAAATTTTAAATAACGTCTAAATTATTAATAAATGACAATTAAGTATCCGTTCATATTCTCTACGCTCACTGTAGCAAGATGGGTGGACGACATCGTCAAAGTTTCAATGTTTGAGACTAGCAAGCAGAGGATCGTAGCGAATGAGCAAACTACGGGAGACGTATACCCAGCTGTGGGTGAAATCGGGCTGGGGATAATGAGGATGATGATTCTCTACGCATTTTCCTGTCACATTGCTTAACAGCTTTAAGAACAGTTAATAATAAGTAGTGATCTAACCTTGTTAAGGTGTGTGTCGTAAGTATAATGTTCCGTTCCCATACGGTAATTGAGTAATAGATTCAATAAGAGCACTTCTATAATAAGTGTATAGAAGGATAGGAATAACCAAGCTATATATATCTGTCGTAATCTAGTAAAAAGAACATCTACGTAAGTATTAACCAACTAAATTGACAACCTCGGTGGCCTAACGATTTTCCATGTGGGCGCTGGATACCGTGGTCCCGGGTTCGATTTGTACTGAAAATATCACAGACATATATCAGACTTACTTCGCATGCCCAAAGTAAGTGAAATTCACTTAGTTGCCGCTGCTACACTTCAGAACGCGCTCGACCATTATCGTAGATAAACGGGTCGTTTTCAGATAACCTCCAAAAATGTGTCCCTTTCAATAACTTTTATGTTATTACATGAATGCTAAGCATTATTTATTTAATATGATTGCTTGCTTACTTAGCCTGTGTTACAAATAAAAAGACTACTTTACTACGTCACAGTAATAAATAAAAATTTAAAAAGTGGACAATTTCTCATTCATGGGACCCGGTTCCCCGTCGCCCTAACTTTAAGAAAAGAAGAAAAAAATTAAACACTCGTGGAAATTGCAATATTTCCCATCGAAGATAAACTCTAATAACTTACACGTCGAAAACATACCGTAACTTACCAATTTATTACAAACAAACATGTTTTCTTGGAAATACAAAATGTGTTTCAATTCTTCTTATCATTCGTGTCAATTCAACTAAAAGCCTAATAACAAAAGTTTACCGTATCACCTTCACCCTTCCACACGTGAGAGGGGGCTCCTGTCGGATTGGAGTGTACACAGTGAAGTAACCTGTGCATCTCCGTTTTAGCCAAAAATGGACTTAAATAGCAATTTCAGCGCTAGTGACTAAATCGTTCTCATTCATTTAAAGCAATCTATCTAAATAAGTATTAAGTAATCGTTTTATAAACTTTATTGTACATCAATTAGACAAAGGGAACTTTAAAATCCATTCACTTTTATAACGGTCCAGCATATTATACACACTTGATATTTAAAAATGTATCCAAATATCATTATTATCGCTCTCATTCTTGTCTACTTTTAAGTCAAATAGTTAGTTTAAGCCAAACATTTACTTGAAATATAACAATTAGATGGCGATAGTGGTGGTGATGACGGTGGTGACGACGATGATGGTGATGATGATGACGATGATGATTGTAGTTTTGATGACGATTATTGTGATGATGATGTGAATGGTAATGATGCTGATGATAATGGTGATTATGATGATGATGTTGATGGTGGTGATGACGATATGTTGATGTACAACAAAGTTTATATGACATTAAGAAAATACTTGGTACTTGGTGCAACGGGCTGGTCTCCGCAACTCGACGACAAAGCGCCTATTTTGCGTGTAAAAAATACTTATTTAGATTTGTTTATTAATTACATATAGATAGATAGATGGTCTTACACGGATGAGAAGGATGTTGAAACAAGAAGTTATATAAAAATATTTGTTACATGTTAAATGTTGCTAAATGTTCTTTTGTGAACGATAAAATGTGTGTTGTAATAATAATTTCTCATTACTGTGCCATCTTTCTCATTTATATTTATGAGAAAATCATTCGTGTTACTGCACTCTCATTCGTATGACCTAAAATATCGATTTTTGTTGTATTTAACTTAAATATTTCTGTGATTTTATAATTATTGACATTGCTTGAATTTACTTGTACGTTTAAGACCTTAAAACCAAAAGAAAAAAGAGTTTTACAAAAATCACTCAAAAAGTGCCATTGAAATTCGGAAAGTGAAATTCACCCAAACACCAGTCGAAAACGCGAAAAATGCATAATTGTGCCATTATAAACTGCGAAAGCACCATAACTGTTGTGGGTAAACGGGTAACCAGTGACGTTTCCTTCCACGGACAAGTGATTTTGTAATCAAAAGATACATAGTTTATTTTAAAAACAATTATTTTGGTTTTGTATGAATTTTGAGAAAATAAATATGTAACCAAGTGTATGCCATTTATAATACATTGCGGCTTTTACTTTGTGCGATATATTAGTGATCCTTTGTTAATACGCCATGAATATCGAACGAACACGCTTTTGTATAATGCATTCAGTTTCGTGGTACGGCCGCTTGTACATTTCTTTGGACAAATGTAACATTTAGTGATGTACTTTTTACGTTACTATTTACGTTAGGTAACACAGTTCTCGATTCTGATCGATTTTGAAAACAAAAGGACGAAAATTATTATGACCTTGGCAATATTATAAAAATATTCTATAACTCTTTTGTTATAACGTTTAGTAACGTTTCGTTTTTTTTCAGCTTGTAGTACCTATTATCAGTAGTATCTGTAATTTCGATAATTTTTGCAGCACGTTGCCTCGAATGTCCGAATATAATGAGCAAATAATTACATTCATGGCTGGATTAGTAGTACAGGGTCAAGAGCACGTCAAGCTTGACACTTAAGACGTAAAGCCATCTTTATGCCGCTCACGACAAGAACGGTTCAAAGTACAAAGTGTCAAGCTTGATGTGCTCTTGACTGTACGAGTAATACAAAAAAATATATAATGCAAAGAATTAACAGTGCGCTGTCTTTACAAAAACCTGGAGTTGGTCATACGTATGAGTTCGTTGCTTTCGAGGATGAAGGTGGTCTAGTTTATTCCATCTAAGATGCTATCCAAATATGCAGAGTAGCAGAGTTAAAAATCCGAAAATTATAAACAAATCACAAAAATTTCACACGAAGCCGTCATTAAGTAAACCTCTTCTGATTAATAACATTTTACCATATTTTGTCAGCAGTAACATTTTGATTTGTCTTGCCATTCAGCAATTTGATCTTTAATTACCAACAGAAAACCATCTAGTAAAATTAATTGAGGCAGTCACAAGTTCATATATTGACGTGCGTTTTCAATATTTAAGTTAATCAATAAGATCTTCTATTACAAAAAGATGTCATATAATAAGCTCATTTTATTGGAAGAACTACAATTTTAATATTTGAAGTCGATTAAAAATTAAAGTCTTAATTTTTATAAAGTAATCAACATTTTTTTAGAGCTGGTAAAATAAAGGACTTAACTATCTTATTCTAGTATTTTTCTACTATATTAATATAACGACTAATAATTCTTCTATTTAGAATCGATTAATTGAATGGACTACGCTTGTTTACGCGTATTCCGTTCAATTAATCGATTTAGAGCGAGCGGAAGGAGGTTTCCATCACTAAATAGTTCTTGTGACGTCGACTACTTATTTAGTGGGTCCAAAAAAAGTGGCACGCTTGGTTTTCATACAAATTGCTGTACTTGAGTTGACTTGAGGCGTCTATCTAGATATGGGTATGTGTTTGTGGAAAATGTAATGAAAATGTCTATTGTAAAAACTGTAACAAAAACCTGCCATTTTCTAAAAAAAGTTAGTTTATGATATTATATAACTATAAGAATAGTGAACGGCTTTTGAATAGTCAACGTAAACTGCATGGAACCTATCTTGATTTTGTGGGATCATAGTATGAATTTAACAGGCAATTCAATTTATGTTCTTAACCAAGATTGCTATATGAACCCATAGGAGGGAGGACTGGACAGGAAGACTGACGACTTGGGGGCAGTCGTCAGTCTTCCTGTAGATTTTACAACATTGCGATGAAGTCCTTATCCTGAGCTCGTATGACAATGTATCGTCCGGAAACATAATAATACTTACATTTTATATTCATGTAATACAGTTAGTAGTATTTCATACGCAACATTAAAATGTTTAAGTTCATAATGTGCTCATTGTTCTAGCTTAAGTATTTATCGAAAACAAGGCATTTTCTATCTGTTATCGCAGCGGTGGTTTTTCTTCTTATTTCTATGCTGCGTCAACAAAGGTAGCGGGAAAACATAGACTTCTGAACGAATAAAGTCAGTATTCCCCAATGAAACACGCGCTATCATGACATATCAATATTCGTTTTGGTTTTCAAAATGGCCACCACAAAGAGACGTAACGATTTCCCGCAAAAAATGGCAGAAAATTAAATTATTGGAGAGAAATGAAAACTAACTGCTTTTTTGCGAAACAATTACCTTACCTTGTGAGGAAATTGTTTTACAAAACAGCTTGAGATCCCTCGCCCACCGTCCACCCATCTCGCTACAGCGAGCGTAGAGAATATAAACGGATACTTGAGAAAATTGTAAAAATCAATGCTTGATAAACGTTATTTAAAATTTGTAAAATAATTCCTGTTTATAATTTTACTAATGTAGCAACAATTTCCGGTAATGAATACAAAGTACCTACTAAAAAATTACAACTACCCAACAAGACAAACAGCGGTTGGCAGTTATGAAAATTTAAACAAGTAACGTGTATGGTGAATTTCATTCCAACATTAATTAAGTAACAGTCTTCCGTCACTTAAAATGTATGAAAGGAGTAAAAAACCTGTCTAAATTAAAGAAAAAATATTTGTTATATACAATGTAGGCAAATATTGAAAACTGTAATTCGGTAACAGAATGAAATGTTTATTTATTTTTCATTACAACCGTAGAACATTAATTTCTAGGTAATTTATATCCGAAAGGAATTAACGTACACTTACACTTTACTTTTTTTACTTTACACTCATGATCCCGATCTAAGGAAACCCAAATTTTAATTTCTAAGTGGGTTTTTTTAATAATATCAAGTGACGGGCCGTGCAATTCGGGCTCCTGATAGTAAGCTACACGCCTTTCCATAACAGTGCAGTGCCACTCAGAGCCTTAAATCGCAAAGATCCGAGGGGCACTGCCACTGCCTTCGTCACCCTGAGACATAAGTTGACAAGTCCGCCGTGCCTGTAATTTCACCCAGCACCCTTACCCTTCAAAACTGGAACTTAGTAATGCTGCTGTAACATTACTGCTTGGTGGCAGAAATAGTTAAGGTGGCAGTACTATCCTATAGCCCTACAGAGTAGTACTGCCACCTACCCTGTAGCACGACAAGATGAGATTTGAGATTAGAGGACAACATAATACGTGAGATCTGTATGCGAGAATAGCAGTATCTCGCGCTTTATGTCGCTCTCGCGCTAGTTGCGCCCTGTCGTGCTATCCCTAGTGGACGAACTCTTTCACATGGAACTTTACTGCTATTAATGTAACTTAGTGTAAAGAATTACAGCTTCAATTAAATTATTTAACATATTGAACTTCCATACACATGCGATTATAAGTATCGATATTGCAATTGTATTATTATTACTTACAACCAAATAAAATAAATTACTTGTGACTAACGTTACAAGTCATTATTGCAAAAGAAGAAGACCACAATGACATTACTAGAAGGTGTTTGTCGTTTTTTATTTTGTTTTTCCAATCGTATTATTTCTTGCGTCTTAAAAATTATAATAAGCATTTAAATGTATTTTTTTTAACTTATTATAATATTATTATTCACCAAATTAACAAAAAGCTTCCACGATGGGACAATTGATCCAATTTATAATAAATCATTTAACACAACCACAAGTTTTAAAGTGATAAATGCTATTTTAGCATTTATTCGTTCCTGCTCATGTGTAAAGTTGAATGCAATTATTGATAGATCTCAGTATTGACACCGAAATCTCTAAACACGAATTTCTGACTTAGCGCGTTTTTCACAGAGGGTATAGAGTTAATTAATTACATAATAAATATAGTGTTTATGAATAACAGTATACTTTACCTGTTGTAAACTCTTCTGTGCTCGCATTGTCCCACAAAAAAAAGAATAAGACAAAAAATCTCAAGCAGTACCTTTCCATCACACAAAAGATCACTTTTAATGGTTTAGTTAAATATTAAGTTTGGGTGCTACACTTATAATAAAAAGGACCATAAGTGTTGATTGCGCGCGAGTAGCGGACACGCGTACCAATTGCTGCGCTCGGCGACAATAACCGTGGTCGGTTCAGGAGCACATTAGGCTACCGGCCGGGCCCCGGCCGCCTCGTCCCGTGTAACGTCACTTCGCCGCCGGCGCACAGCCTAATGATTCCGTTTGGCGGTTTGGCCAGCTACATCAGCCAGGGCAGCTACATCGTTAACCTTACTTTTTCATTGGAAAGGTGAAAATAATTGGGTCACTTTTGCATTTACTTATTGTGTAAACTGGGAATCGAATTGTTTCATTTTTCGACGGTAATTGGTTCCCAACTGTTTCACGTTATTTATTCTACACTGACGTAACATATATCTGTTCATAAAAGTGGTTGAAAGGTATATAGTTTGTTGTGTTTTGTATTCAAAAGTCGTATACCTACTTAAATGGCTAAACTGTAATATCTGAACTTCACTAAGAGCACACATATACCAACGTAGTAGATACAGACAGTTACACAAACACGCAAAAACTCCATTTAAATATTAGTAAAAACGCATTTATGAGTCATGCATACGTGTATACATATATGTATAAATAATAAGGGTTCCTAAAAATAAAACTCAGGCAAACTGTAATACTGCGGTCGAAAGTCCTAGAAAAAATTGTTCCCCATCAGTTGACTAATTTTCTAAACAGGAACAACCTTTTTTATGCTTTTCAGTCCGGATTCCATACAGGTCATAGTACGACTACTGCACTCACGAAAGTCACTGACAACAGCCGTATCACTCACTGATGGTGTTATCCAACGCTTCCAATTGACATTGAACTTCAGCAAGATTCATTTTTAGGGACGTGATGTCCTTGAGCAGCCTGGTGACGTCGACGTAGTCCAACGTGACAGATGGCAGCTTGTGCAGTTTCTTCGCTACGAAAACAGGCACGTTGTCTGGGTCGGTCTCCTTTAACAAAGTGATGATGTCCTGAAGATTCTTCTCTCTTCCATCGCTCTGACAAGATAACTCCTTCGGCCTTGCCAGGCATGGAAATGCAGCACCTTACCACTGCAAATCTCTTCTTCTTTGAAATTTGGTTTGCAGACCTGCATGATGCTGACCTCGTTCGTAGTGTCGATGGCGTGTTGGATGAACGCCAGCGCTTCATTGGCAATGAGTTACTGGGAACCCATAGTCAATTACGCGCAGCGGCCGCGCGAGTCGCGAATTTTATACTTCATAAGCTTTATAAATATTCTACATAATTTCGGTACTCATTAGGTAGCTGTAACTGTAACGTGACAGATACAGTAACGAGGTTCTAGTGTGTACGTGTGAAACAGTGTCCACTATCTAGAACAAGTACTTGGTTATCGTCGGCTCACTGCGAACAGCACGCGTAACATATCTTGCAACTTTTACGGTTACAACTCGCTAGTGAGTACTCGGCTTTACTGTGTAGTGGAGCACGTTCGGATTCGACCGTGCAAGCATTGTTATTATGTAGAGTCTTACTAGGTAGGGTATTCTGTAAGGTATTGGTGAAGATATTCTTTGGTTACACCCGTTTTGCATATCGCAAATTTCTATCCTAATGTTGTTACGAAGAAATTGCTACTTAGCAATACGATCACTTGTTGCACATTAACTTATTATTTGTGTACCTTCTTAAATTATCTAATTTTCTGAATCTAACAAATGAATAAAGAAATAATCCCTCAGTTCTTTGAGATTGTTTTTGATGTTTGTGTTTATCAGGTCTGGGGATCTCACCGGCCATCTAATCGGTCCGTGTGTGCTGACCCAAAAAGGAAAACGTTCATTAAGAGACTATGCTGTTCTCCGGCCTGTTATGAGTCGGAGCCCCATCTTGAAATACGAATATCGACAGGATGAGAGAAGACAGCGAGAAGTGTTTCTTTTATTTATGATGTTATATTACTTGTGAAGGAATTAATTGCTGTAATTGTCCTTTTTGATGGGCTTTATAAAAATACAGGATATTTTTATTCACATTATGAATGATATTTATGAGTGAATGATATTTATTTGCTTATAATGGTAAATATGGTTTATAAAAGGTGGTACAAAATCATTGACGTAACATGGATGCATTGAGTATACTCTGGTTATATACTCGATGCATGGATGTAACGTATTTATTATTGCATTGTCACACTTATATTATATTAAGTAGCTACAGTGGCTTGAAAATGTGCATATGTCACCCTGTACAGGCAAAGCAAAGTGATGAGGGCACTTACTTATTATAAAAGTAATAAAATAAAATTGTAATCACATTAAATAAATCATTACATGCATTAGATAAATTAAGAAGAATATGATAAGTTTCTCAAATTAATTAATTACATAATAAATTATATTTTGTCTTTGAAAAATTATTTAATATTATAACAACTTTTATTTTATGAGGAATTCTTTTAACATAGTATACATATTATTATCATCATGTCAAATGTCAAAGTATACATTAATGTCATGTCATGAAGATCTCAAAAATATAAAAAAATAAAATATTTTGTCAGGTAGATAGATCATTAATGTAGAGTAGAAATATTAGGGGTTAAAGCTTAGACTATAAAGTATGAAATTGCCGTTTTATTGCAATAGGTTCTTTGAATTTTCATAGAATCTTCATGGTTTGAGGTTTTCGAATGAAACTTTTTTCAAATGGTTTCTGTGATTTTTTTTTTTTTTTAAATTTGAAACATTTGAATATCGACTTTCAATTGTTTTTGTTATTCAATTTAGACAAGAAAGATGGATACTGCGAAAATTCGAGTGATTTTTGAATACGAGTTAACGCGGCAGAAACAGCCCGCAATATCAATGCTGCGTTTGGAGAGGGGTCTACTAATGAACGCACCGTGCGATTTTGGTTTAAACGCTTTCGTGATGGAAATTTCGACTTAAAGAACGAGCCACGAGGAAGACCGCCCACACAGGAGAATAACGATGAATTAAGAGAGATAGTGGAAGCCGATCCTAGTCAAACTACCCAGGAATTAGCGGCATGGTTTAACGTTATCTTACCCACAATATTGACTCACTTGCGTCAAATCAATAAAATAAAAAAATACGAAAAATGGGTGCCTCATGATTTGACTGAACTGCAGAAAGAAACGCGTGTTGAAACTTGTGTTGCCTTGTTGAACCGGTACAGAAATGAAGGAATATTGGATCGAATTGTAACATGTGATGAAAAGTGGATTCTTTATGATAACCGGAAAAGAAAAATGCAATGGCTGACCCCAGGTCAAATGCCACAACAGTGTCCTAAAGCAAAACTTACCAATAAAAAGGTAATGGTAACTGTTTGGTGGTCTCAGCATGGTGTTATTCACTATAGTTTTCTCCGATCTGGTCAAGCAATAACGGCAGATGTCTATTGTGCCGAACTCCGAACCATGTTGACAAAACTAGCAGTAAAACAGCCCCGACTCATGAATCGATCTTCACCATTATTGCTCCACGACAACGCGAGACCTCACACAGCACGAGAAACCATTTTGACTCTTCAGGAACTGCAGTTAGAAACCATTCGTCATCCTCCGTATTCACCAGACCTTGCTCCAACGGACTACCATTTTTTTCGTGATTTGGACAATTATCTACGTGACAAGAAGTTTTCTTCCCAGGAGGCAGTACAAAATGCTTTCACACAGTTTGTGCAGTCTAGATCGTCGGAGTTCTATCGCAAAGGCATTAATAACCTTCCCATTAGATGGCAGCAATGTATAGATAATAATGGCAACTATTTTGATTAAATAAATTTGTTAAAAATTTAAAAAATAAACAATTTAGATTTTCAGTACAAATCGGCAATTTCATACTTTAACCCCTATTAATAATGCACGCCGCATGTATTTCCGCGAAAAAATAATTTATTTGAATGTACGTGAAAACTACTATCTAGATATTTACAAATAAATAAGAGGCTAAACAACGAATTGCTAATCCTGTATTCCCTAGATTTCCTGGCGTTTGAAGAACAAGTGAATGAATGCGTTAAAAGATTAAATTTGTGTATCCAAGAAAATGGAGTTCATTTCGTGCAAGTAATTAGTTAAGATTACCATGTTTTTCGATTTATTAAAATACGTTAAGATTTCATGTTTTTTTTTTCATTTCATTAACCAATTGCGTGAGAGAGATTTTATTCTTATAATTGACCCTATCGATTGATTTAATAAAAGTACAGGGTGCATTTTTTTCAGATTAAAGCGGGTTCGATACCCGCGTGTTGCTACAAATTTTCGAAAATCTATGAATGCAGTTTTATTTCTTTTAAAAAATAAAGGAATGTTTCATTTAAGTAAAAATTTCT